AAAACAATGCCTAGCATTCCCATTGCATTTGGTTGTTGAGGGATAACAGCACTGATGATAATATCAACCTCTGTGTTGTGCTTGCTTACACCACACCATGTACATGGTGTTACTTGGTATTATATAATCAAGGTGCCCACATTAACTCATCTAATCTTTGAAACAGCCCTGTGAGATTGGCCCCATTATGCCCCCATTTCATAGAGAAGGAAACTGAGGCACAGAAGGTTCCAGAACTTGGTTTACATCACCCAGCCGGTGAGCGGCAGAGGTGGGATCTGAACCCAGACAACTGGCTCCAGAGTCCAGGCTCCTAACCTCTGTTATAAGACATGATGTCTGAAAGCACTGAACTGAGATGCTTTCTTAAAAGAAAGATTTCATTCTCACTCCTGTTAGGACCACTCCCATGGGGCAGGATGGATTCCCAGATGGGGGTGCCACCCCAGCTTCAGACCCACCACCCCACTGGCGGGGTGCCAGCCTCCTGGAGGAGCGGGAAGGCATGGCCCTGGTCCCTCCCAGCTGCAGGACTGTCTTCCTATATTTTTTTTCCAAAGCAAAATGTCTGCTGCCAAGAGCAGGGTTTGTCTGTCTCCTGGAGACAGCGGTTGTCAAGTCCTGGGAGCAAGCAAGCATGTCAAAAATAGCAGCGCCGTAGACAGCTCGGCTGCAGGCTCCTTGGAGATGTTGGTTTTGCTCTCGCCAAAGAGACAGAGTCTGTCTGCATTCCCTGCACCTGTGATGAAGGCCACTTAAGGCTCCAAGACGTTTCCTAGGGCCGGGCAAATAGTGTTTGCCAGGCGCGTGACAGACGAAAGGAAAACCCTCTCCATAGCAACAAGGATGAGGTCAGAGCTGTGCTAAAAAAAAAAAAAAAAAGTCATAGATAAACCATGATGAAAAAGAATATGAAAAAGGATGTCTATATATGTATAACTGAATCACTTTGCTGTACAGTAGAAATTAACACATTGTAAATCAACTATACTTCAATAAGATAATTTTTTTTAATTGTCATAAATTCCACCAGGGCTAGGCCCCCGACGGCTAATGCTGATGGCCACGGTGAGACCAGTATGGATAGCCAAGGTGAGGTACCAGTGTTGAGGTGTCTGCCTCTTTTTCTTTCTTGTTCTGAAAGAAGCAGTCCCTCGTTCTGGAAAACCTTTCCAAGGTGCTCACTGATAGGTTTTCATCTCCTTTTTAGGGACAAGCACCAGAATAACTCACAAGGACCTACTCATAGCACAGGGAACTCTGCTCAATTCTCCATAATGACCTATATGGGGAAAGAATCTTTAGAAATGAATAGATATGCATATAGGCATAGCTGAATCACTTTGCTATACACCTGAAATTAACACAACATTGTAAATCAAGTAGTCTCCAATAAAAAGGTTTTTTTTTAATATATGGAACAAAGAGGTGGTGAGAACTCTCTAGGAGTTCAGAGCAAAGGGAGGGGAAAGAAATGACCGTCTACAGCCCCACAGGGACCTTGGGCCCAGATCAGGAAAGTGGTTCATCACGAGACATGAAAACACAGGAACTAGGAGCCCATCTGTCTTCATTCCCAACAGCTTGCATCTAGAGGCTCTCTCTCAGGAGAAGCCCCAAGCTCCAGCCCGATTCTGCCCCAAGAGAGCCTCGCACCCCAGGGCAGCCCGGCGTCAAGTGGGAGTGAGAGAGGAAATCCTTCAGTTTAAAGAATGGGTTTCTTTTCCTTCCCTAAGTGACCCTGACAAGCTAGAATTAGACCAAACTTTGCTTCCCCGGGCAATAACTCACAGTCAGAACCAATCAGAGCCGGCCCGGCAGGTTCCAGCCAGATTGTCCCGGGAGGACCGCGTTCCTTGGAAATCTATCTTGGCATTTATGGAAAGACGCCGGGGGACAAAACATTGCCAAAAGCATGGGCTCAGCCAGCCGAGAGAAGGCATGACAAATAGCAGGACTGGAAGGTGTCACGTAAGGAAGAGCACCGAGGGCGGGGAGGGGAAGGAAGGGATCAGTGAGGGGAAGGCAAGTGAGGGCAGAGAGCAAGGACATCTGGTGTGCACGCCAAAGGAGGACCAGCTGAGGGAAGACCCTCACCCCTGCTTCTCCTGTTTCCTGAATGCGCCATGACCTGCGACACCCAATCAGTGGCTGGAGGGTGGGGAGCGGACCAGGAGAATAACACCTTGGCTCCATTGTAATTTCTCAAGGAACTCTGAGTTTCCAGGGAAACAGAGATGAGGTGGAACTTTCTGCATTTGTTTGTGAGGTTTTGCCAGCAAAGTATAAACCCCTTAGCTTTGGGTGGGCGGTGGGCAGGGGCGGGGGGCAAGTTGTCTTTGTGCTGTCACGAGTCATCTCCAACGTGCTTATCCTAGTTCAGGACAAGCTGACCAGGCTCCGCCTGGACCAGAAAGGGCCTCGCCTGTCTTCAGAGCCAAAAGAAAGGGGCATGTCAATCCCACAATGGTCTCATTGTCAAAATTCAAAACAAAACAAATGGTTCCTAGCACTGGACGGGAGCTGCACGAAAGCTCTAAAGTGTCCCCATGTGGCAGAGAAAAAAACTGTCATTCCTTCTTGAATATGCAATCCGGTACATCTTTAGAGAGGCTTAACTTCTAGATTTATAAAACCAAACCATCTCCCAGACAAGACATGAAACTCTGAGGTTATTAGCCTCATGTCACTTTAAAAAAAAAAAAATTCAGTGACTTTTGTGAGTTAACTTATCAAGGACAACTGTCACTGCAATCCTCTTTTAGAAAATGTCCACTACCCTCATTGGAAAAGACCCTGATGCTGGGAAAGACTGAAGGCAGAAGGAGAAGGGGGCAGCAGAGGATGAGATGGTTGGATGGCATCACCGACTCCATGGGCATGAGTCTGAGCAAATTCCAGGAGACAGTGAAGGACAGGGAGGCCTGGCGTGCTGCAGTTCATGGGTTTGCAAGGGGTCAGACACAACTGAGCAACTGAACAACAACCCTCCAAAAACCTATTATCCTGATACATGTGGGACTCAGTCTACATGACCTCCAGCAAAGAGATGCACAAAGAAAAAGCCTCCCTATAGACCGGTTGGTGAATCTTAAGCCATCTTTCTAAAGAGAGTCATCCCCTGCACTTCACACCACTGGGATTTATGAACTCTGCTTTTGTTCTGCTTTCAGGATATGAGAGAGACAGCTCTGAGAACCTTCAAGTGAATTCAGGGCATTCAGAAGGCCAGCCTCTTGAATTAAGGCTTTTTCTAGGTTAATTCCACTCTATGGCTTCCTTCTACATCCTCTTCTCTGTGTTTATTTCACTCTATCTATAGTGCATTGTCTGGAACTCTTCTGCAAGCTTCTCAAGGTTGGGGACCCGGAGTGAGCAGAGTCTAGTGCTACACAAGCAAAATATTTATCTGAAATATATGAGGTTCTCTTTCTTCTCTCCAACCCGCCTTCTCTATTTTCTCCTTGCAGATTCAGGAAGTATCATCAGAGATGTTTTCTAAACCCACAGCAACCTCATCTTGCTCCAGAAACTCAGGACTCCGCCCCCAGAGGTGAGCACGCTAGGACAGGATGCTGTACTGGCAGGAAAAAGGAGAGTCCTCCAGCTGGAGAACAACCTTCTGAGCAAACACCCTAGGTCACAGCCATCCTCGAATCCAAAGAGTGAGCCCAACTGAAATGCCCCAAGGTGCTCCCAGCCCCCAAGAAAGAGAGAGAAAGATGCACAAAGAAGGAAGAAGAGGTTCAAATGGCAGATGAGGGAAAACCAGGAAGGTGAGAAGAAAGAAAGGCAGAGAAAGTGAGACTGCAGGGAAGAAAGAAGGAGGCAATGCAGAGGAAAAAGGGGGGTGGTTTAGAAGGGGGAGTGAAGGGAGATAGCAGTGTGCAAGCAGAAACAGAGGAGAGTAATATAGATGGAGACAGAAACACACGGAAAGAGAGCGAGCGAGGAAGCTGCTGAGCAGTCAAAGGCTTCATTCTCCCCAAATGCATGCTCTCCCGCCCCCTCTCTGCCCCTCCCCATTCCTGTTCTCATTTGACCTGAAAGACTGAGCCAGAACGAAATTCCCCAGCAGCAGAACCTACCTCGGGTGCAAAGACGGCCAGCTGTCCCCTTCTCTCCTGGGGCTTCTCAGGCAGGAGGAATCCCCCCACATCTCAGTCGAGCCTGACAGATCCAGGAAGACCTCTGGGAGCTCCTGCCGGCCCAAGTCAGGTGTAACAACAACCTGAACTCCTCTGCTGACAGCTGTGAAATCGCCACCCCAGCAGTCATGGCGACACGGGGCACAGATTCCCTCGGTGCTCAGGGAACAAAATCCACATCGAGAGGCTCAGGGTCAAAGGGGGTCACTTGGCGAAATCCATCAGAGGAAGTAGGTCAGGTCACAGTCTCCCAGTTTTTCTTGGATGTCTTTAAGAAGAACCATGTATGAGGTCCCTCCCAGGAGCTAGACATTTCCTTGGGAAGAAGAAGCATCATCTCTCTGTCTTAGAGCTGGGAGGGGCCGACGTGAACGCTCCGTGGTGCTATTATGGACTAAAACTAGTAGCAGCTGCCTCTTGAGAAGCTAGTCCCCTCCAAGGCCATTTCGAAAGAGAGAATACGGTCTAACTGGCAGTTGCCTAGCATTCAAGTTTCTGAGGACTCGTGAGTGAGATGAGATGGCTCCAGTGATGGGGTGGGGAAACCAGGAAGAAAGGCCCAGATAGGAAGCTTTGGGGACCTGCTTCCCCCTCGTTTTCCAAAGGCCACACATCCCTGTCCCAGCCCTGCCAGCCCCTAAACAACGTTATGTGAGAGGCGTCCCCATTTCAGAAGCTGGGAATACGTCGTCTCTCATTCTCCCTGGCTGCCCAACTCAGAAGATAGAACAGTCTGGAAGGTTGCTACGGCAACCAGAATCCCCAGAGAGCCCAGCTCTTCATAAACCCTTTCCACTCGGGCATGCTCTGACTTGAAATGGTGAGGATGATGAAAACTCACACACACCCCCATTCTGAGAAGGATACATCCGTGTTTCAACATTCACTCTCGACGTGAGCATTCCTTTTGCCTCTGGGTGGGCCTTCTCTTCCCCACCTCTCCCCCTGGACTGTCAGGAGTAATATTCCAGAACAGATGTAGAAAACTGGCACTTCATAGCCTCAGAGCAGGTATCTGAATCATGAGCACTTTATATTGCATCTCAGATTTGGAGAAGTCAAGCTCCCAATCAAGATGGTGGTGCCTGGCCCTAAAAGGACGCCACTGAATCACTCCAAAGAGCATCTTCCCTGCTAAAGGGGAAGAAGTAAAGAATGAGGCCCAGTTCAAGAGGTGAGGGAGGGATTTAAAAAGCTAAGGACCCAGAATGGCCTGGGTGTGGGCTTTGGACCCAAAGCAGGAACCCTGGGAGGAGGCTTTGCCTATGGGAGAGGGGGAAGCAGGGTAATGAAATAGAAATCATTATGGAAGTTCACGCATTTGCATAGCATCACCCACAGAATCCCAGCTGAGTTCCTGGGCCATTCCCCACGAAGGGGGGGGGACAGACATCAATATTCCCACCAAACGGGTGGGGACACGGAGGCACAAAGAGGAATTGCGGCCCCCAAGTTACCCTGTAAAGTGCGGCAACATCCAGACACAGTGTCTCTCAAGAAAACCCTCAAGAGGCTGTACCTCCTAAGTCGGCTCTTAGAGAAAAGCTTAAAAAAAAAAATCTCATCAAGGAGTCTTAAAGCCTAGATTATAAAACTAAAAACACGTTAACAGTCCTTTCGGTTTCTGAACTGTACCCAGGAGAGTGCAGAACAGGTCATCACAGTTTATCAAGGCAGCAAATGAATGGCAGTGCAAAGAGGAGAAAGAGGGGACGTGGGCAGGTGGCACAGGAAGAGCAGCTCAGTTCACGATGGAAGAAGATGGCTCAGACCAGGTAGGGGCACCTCCGGGCATCTCCCTGGTGACAGCCAGCGGCTGTGGCTCCAGGGCTAGAGCAGGAGAATGTTTACCTGACTCAGCAAAAAAAAAAAAAACAACCCTCTACCAGTGAGGCTGTCGGCAAAAGAACAATGCTTCTTCCTTACTCTAAACCGCCTATCTCATTGCCTGCAAAATGCAAACAGAAACCCACGCTAGCATCCAATGTGTGCTTTTACCTGGCGGCAGATTTAAGCTGGAGTCTGCGTTAGCAAGCCTTCAGCTGCAAACCTAAGTCAGATTCCCAGGAAGCAGGATGGAGGGCTAGAGAGGGCTGGGGGAAGTGAGGGAGAGGAATTTGCTGTCAGCAACAAGACTCCTCCACCGCTCCGAGATGGCACTGTCTAAGGGACACCGCTTCCCTAAGAAGCGGTCAGGCCAGGTGCTTGGTTCCATTCAGCCATTTCTCGCAGCTCCGTGGTTCCCCTTTGTCAGTTCCTCCGCACAGGAAGGCACCTGAACAGAGTATTTGGCTCTGAGAAGGAGGAGCCTTCCTGGAAGCAAGGGAGAGTCAAGGGAATCAGAGTCGAGAGAGCTAAGTGGAGACCAGAGACTAACATCTACCGTGCCAGGTCAGGCTAGAAGAATCCATTGGCCCTTTAGGTCCAGGACTGACCTCTCACGTCCTCCAAATGGCCAAGTGGCATCGTAGTTTCTCTAGTTGCATCCAAGGTTAGAGACAGATAACATATGTCCAGGCTGTGCAACTGAAGGCTCTCCTAAGGCTTCTCTGCAGAATGACCAGCTGACCTTACAGGGCACTGGAGGAAAACAACAGGATGAGTACTGTTTCTGCCCACCAGCTTCGGCTAGTTAGCACGTGGCCAGAAGCTACAACGGGAGGGTGCATGCCCCAAAGCCAAGGATGCTAAGGAGAAACAAGACCCTGGTATGCCTGGTTTCCAGCCTGTTGACGTCACTCTTCCTAGAGACATCACAAGTCCCAAATGTGAAAAATCAGAGTCTCGAGGGAAGGTCAGATGGAAATCTTGTCCACGTGACATAAGATGGGCACGAATGGGTGGCACCATTAGAATTTCAAAAATGTCACTTAGATGGAGAAACCTGGGATGCTGCAGGGGTCAAGTAACAAGGCTGGCAGTCCAGGTGTGTGGCCCTGGCGCCAACCACTGGGTGTGAGGAAGAGAGTCAGGAGGTCACCTGGAGCTGGGATGCGAGTAGTGGAGGATGAGAAGGGTCCCTAAGGAAGGGTGTGTTCGGTGTCTTCCTTCCATGCAGGTGCTGCCTGCATCTGTCAAACCTCAGTGAGCATCCTTTTCTCTGCATACCCTCGATGTGGAGTGGGAAGGTAGCTGGGTCTCCGCTCCCGAGTGGCCTCCGAGAATTCAGGTTTGCCAAGTCCACTGTCGGCTGCCTTCAGGTCCGGGGCAGGCTGCCCACAAGTGACGTGGGTATACTGGCCTTGCTCCTCCTGCTCCGTCTCTCGGTGGTAGAAGTAGTTGAAGTTGGAGACAATGACAGGCACGGGTAGGGCGATGGTGAGAACCCCGGCGATGGCACACAGCGAGCCCACAATCTTGCCCCCCACTGTCATGGGGTACATGTCCCCATAACCTACGGTGGTCATGGTGACCACCGCCCACCAGAAGGCATCCGGGATACTGGGGAAGAGCGAATCATCGTCATCGGCCTCCGCAAAGTAGACAGCACTGGAGAAGAGGATGACCCCAATGAAGAGGAAGAAGATGAGCAGGCCCAGCTCCCGCATGGAGGCCTGCAGCGTCTTGCCCAGTATCTGCAGCCCCTTGGAGTGGCGGGACAGCTTGAAGATGCGGAACACGCGGACCAGGCGGATCACTCTGAGGATGGCCAGGGACATGGCCTGCTGCCCGTTCTGGCCACCCCCGCCACTGGCCGACTGCTGCTCCTGCTGCTGCACCAGCTCCGTGCCCAGGGTGATGAAGTAGGGGAAGATGGCCACCAGGTCGATGATGTTCATGATGTTCCGGAAGAAGGCTGGCTTGCTGGGGCAGGCAGAGAAACGTACCAGTAGCTCAAAGGTGAACCAGACGATGCACAGCGTCTCCACCAGAAAGAAGGGGTCCGTGAAGAAGGAGCCCCCAAGAGTACTTAGTGAGGATGAGCCCCCTGCCACCATTCCCCCGGGGGCGATGCCAGGATGGAAGGTATAGGAGTCACCTTCATCCTCCTCTTCCTCCTGACTGCCCCTGGACACTGGGGAGACACCGCCACCGTTGCTTCCGCCTCGACCGTCTGCACGGAACTGGGGCAGCGTTTCCAGGCAGAAGATGACGATGGAGATGAGAATGACCAGGACTGAGACGATGGCGATGCCCCGGGCGGGCCCCGAGCTCTCCGGGTACTCGAAGAGCAGCCACACCTGGCGCTGGAAGGGCTGCGAGGGCAGCGGCTTCTCGTCCACTCCACCCTCGGGCAGGCAGCCCTCGTCCTCGCGGAAGGCGGCCAGGGCCTCGTCCCCCAGCTGGTAGAAGCGGATCTCCTCCAGGAAGATGTCCAGCGGCACGTTGACCGGCCGGCGCAGCCGGCCCCCAGACTGGTAGTAGTAGAGGATGGCGTCGAAGCTGGGCCGGTTGCGGTCGAAGAAGTACTCGTTCCTCAGCGGGTCGAAGAAGCGGACGCGGCGGCCGGGGTCCCCCAGGAGCGTGTCCGGGAACAGCGACAGGGTGCGCAGCTGCGTCTCGAAGCGCAGCCCCGAGATGTTGATGACCAGCCGCTCGCTACTACAGCAGCCGCCGCCACCGCCGCCGGCCTCCGGGAAGTCTCCCGCATCCTGTTGCTCGCCCTCCGGCCCGCGGACCTCCCCCGGCGCCGCCAGCGTCAGGGATTTCTCCGATCGCATGTCCCCTCCGCGCTGCGCTCCCCGCCGCTAGGACGGCGCCCACGACACGACCACCACCCGGTCGCCGCGGCGCCTCCCAGCTCTCGGCGGCGCCCTCTTTGCAGGGTGGGGCTCGCGGTCCGAGCCGGCGGCGGGTCCCTGAGTCCCGAAGCCCTGGTCTCTGCCGGGCTAGGTCTGAGGAAGTGACCGGGGCGCGGAGGGTTCGGCCCCGCGCCTCCAGCTATCCGCGCCGGATGCCAGATGGAGCTTGGAGTACCTGGAACCGCAGCCGGGCGCGTGTGCACGCCCGAAAAAGACGCGTGGCTTGGCCCCTCTCGCCGCGCCTCAGACTGGGCTCCGCGACGGGGGGGTCCACCCTGGGTGTCAGCACGTCCCAGACCTCCGGCCGCCGCCGGGACCCGTGCCCCAGATGCGCCTCCCTCCGACTCGGCCAAGACGCCCGGCGGGGCTCGGCCTCCGCCCAACGGCCACCGCGCGTTCCGCTGGCCAAGGTCGCCGTTCCCGCCGCCACGGCCGCCACCGCCTCCCTTCCGAGCCGCGCCGCTGGCCTGCGAGAGGGGCCCTGGGGCCGCCCCGGGGGTCGGGGCGCGCGGACCCACCTCCCCAGCGCTCAAGCCTTCGCTGCAGCCGCCGCAGCTGCAGCGGCTCGGCTCTCCGCTCTGCCCTTCCTTCCCAACACACTCTCTCCAAGTGACGTGGCAGGCCCCGCCTGCTGCCCCCTCCCACCCCACTCCCGCATGACACCCCTCGCCCGGCCAGGGGCCGCGCGAGCCCGGGCGCGGCGCGCAGAAGCACCCTAGCCTCTCCGGCAGCCTTTCCCGCGCTCTCCTGGCACGCCTCTCCCTTAAGCGCGTCCGCATCCGCCGCCCTCTGAACAGGCGCTTACCCCCCTGCCACACCCCCCCGCCCCCGCAACCGCTTCTCCCTTTTCGGTTTGCAGAGTTGACCTGCGCAGTGCATTTCATCAATAAGAAAACACCCCGCCCCGCCACCTGGCACAGAGGTCCGTGCCTCCACTCACCCCGAAACTGAATGACAAAAAAAGAAAAAAATCAAATCATCTTTTCTCCTTCTGAATTTACAAAGATCCATTTGCCAGTTTCTCCAATCTCCACTTACAAAATAAAGGAAGCACGTTTTGATGTCCAGAGAGCTCCCGATTTAAACTGTACTTGAGTGTCACTCCCCAGAGAATCCCATGGGTCTTTTTGCAAACCTAGGCAGGCGGGTGAGGCTGCCCTTCTTCTAGGATTGCAAAGTGAGAGCCCAGAAAAGGGTGGGAGGTCGCCTGTTGCCTTTCCCAACAGAGGTTTTCCAAGGGAGCTTGGGCAGCAGTCCCAGGGAAAAAAGAACCAGAAGATGGTGGCATCTCACAGGTAACATAATCTAAGGAAGTATTATACATCTTGAAATTTATAAGCTCCCAGCTTCCCTGGGAACGAATCTGGAGTGTCTGAGAACGGCATGTTGATTAAACTAATGGCTGTGCTTCCTGGGCACCTAATATGTGCCAACCACCTTCTGGGTGCCGCACCTGCACCATCTCATTCACTCCCCCAAGATCTTCTGAGAAAGATGGCCTCTGCTCCTAGGCAATGTTACAAGGAAGACCCACCTGGCAGTATTTGGGGAGGGACCAGATTTGGTTGTAGGGAGTTTCCAGGAGGGAGGCGGTAAGAATGGTTTTCCACCCATTTCGGCCAGAGACCATCACTAGTTCAGATAGGTTAGGGTCTGATCATTTCACACTACCTACCTACACAGTAGGGTTGATGCTGGCTTCTCGTGGCCTCAGTTTCCCCTTTTGGGGTGGCTATGGACAAACATAAGTTGGCTGACAACCAGAACAAGAAGGTGTTCTTAGAGCATTGGTACGAGTTCATGGACGATCATGATGGGAAGGATACATAGAGCTACTCTCAAACCGCAAGACTCCTGTGAGAGTTCTTTGCATAAAGCGCGGTGTTGTAAAACCACAGTGGTCCATTCCCAGCAGGGTGCTGGGGAGGAAGGTGAGTAGGGAACCAAGTGGGCTGGATGTGTAGGGCAGAGGCCAAGTGCTGAGACAGTAGGAGACAGATGGCCGCACCACCACGTTTTCATTCTCTAGTCTGGTCCCTCACCATGTCTTCTAGGTGGTCGTTTGCATTTCATTCCTGGTCGTTGCTGCTCCCTTCTCCCAACTTGCCTGTTTCAGTGAACGTCGAGAGCGCAAGTATATCATCCAGTCAGTATCTTTCTTTTTCACAAGCTATTGTTATCAATCAACTTAAACTTTGCACTAGTAAGTTGCTCCATTCAATTTTTTTTTTTTCTTTCAGGAAAGAAAAGGAAACCTACAAGTATAACCCAGAAAGTACTGGAGTTTCTTGGTTTGTCTTTACCCCTGTCCAATTATCTGTAATTCTTTTCTGAGTGGTAAAATGACTTACTCATGATTCTCTTTATTTTTGGTGAGCAGTTTTTACCATGAAATAGTCATGGGCATGCTTGTTTTCATCACTGCCATTTTTATGCACAAGGTTGTCCACTAGGTCAGTCACTCTTCCAAGCAAACCTTGGAGAAACGTGGGGAGGAACCTGAATTCTGTCTAAGATGGTGATGGGAACAGCCCTTTGAGTGTCACTTGGGTTAAGGCTGCCAACCTACAGTCAGATAGAAGCTCCATATTTGCCTTGACATGGGGCATAAGGCTCTGCCCCAAGAGAGGTTTCACTGGGCACAGAAAGGTTCCCCCCAAGGGAAAACCCATTAGCAAGTTCATGAATCAGAATTCTGTTTTTAGTTCTTGTGTAAAAGAGACTCATTTCTTAGCCACAGAAAAGCCCTTTTCTCTAGATCATTCCTCTCAAGCAGAAATTAAAGGGTGAGTAAAATCACACCTTTAGACGTGCCAGTTCCCACGTGAAGGAAGACAAGAGGAATAACCCCATCCTCAGACTGCAATGCCACCTCCAGTGACAAGTGAACATTTCTCCAGAATTCACGGAGTCCCAGTTTCATGACAGCATAGGCTTTCCTAATTCTATCTAAAGCCAGACGTTTTCACTGATGGTCACTATCATTCATTTATTTAATAAGCTTGCACTGAGAAGTTATTGGATGCCCACCATGTGCCAGGTGGTGGGGTTTTAGGAGTAACCTGGACAGACCATCTGCTTTTATTTCTTGCAATAAATATATGACATTCTAGATAGAAAATTTTCACAGTAAACAATAAAGAAGATATTTACATATTGTACTGAAGGCTCTGAAGAAAATAAACTGGATGCTGAGTTAGGCACGAACCTGGGAATTCTGCTTTGAAGCATCAGGTGGTTGGGAAAGTTCCTTCTGAAGAGGTACTAATTTAACTGAGAATTCAAAGAGAATGAGCCAGACTTGCTACAAGCAGGGAAGATCATTCTGGGCAGATAAGTTCCAAAGCCATGAGCTAGACAGGTCATGGGTATATGTGTGTGTGTGTGTGTGGGTGTGGGTGTGTGTGTGTGTGTGTGTGTGTGTGTGTGTACGAGCATGTGTGCTTGTCATTACCCCAGCAGTGGGATCTTCATGGTTTTCCTCTGGGGAGACTTAGCCTTGCTTCTCTGAGTCATCTCTGTGAATGGTCCTTTCCACTGCCCTTTCAGCCACAGACCTCCATGGAAGGAAAGAGTTGTAAGGGGTCAGCTCCCTCAGTTCCTACCTGTCTACAGGTGTGTATACACATACCCTCCCTAAGAAGAATCACCTCTGTCTCTAGCTTTTCACCATAGATTGTTGAGGGCAGGAATAAAAAGTCTAACACTGTGTCCCATGACCATTTCCCTCCCTCTGGGCTTTCCCTGGGACCAAAGTGACAAGTGAAAGGACAAATGCAAATACATCTTATAGATAAGGATCATTTATAATTAGCTGCTTAGCTGGAGTTTTTGACAATGATGGTGATGATATCAGCTACAGACTGGTGAAGGAGATAATGATGCTCCAGAATCCACCAGAGAAAAATCTTACAGTTTTCAGCTGAGTGAAGCTATATATTGGAAAAGGAATGCATTAGACATCTGAGTCGTGCAAATCAACAGCCCTAGGAGATGACTAACCCTGCCAAGAAATAAATCTATAAAGAGCATTTTATCATTCAGGGAGGATCCCAAGAGCACTTGTTAGTTCTTCAAGTTTGCAGCCTGCTTCTTCATCCCATTTCCCTACTGTGGCATCATCAGTGATATTTTCCAAATATCTCCAACTCTCTCCATTTCAGGAAGGTGGGGAATTGTACACTCTACCTCACTTATGGTTGGACCAGGCCAGTAGTTCTAACCAATGAGATGTAAGCAGAAGTGATGTATGTCATTTCTGAACCAAAATATTTAATTAAAGCCTCCAGAACTTTCTTTATCATAGCCACAATGGTCAGCATCATCCATGATGGTGACTGCTCTGGCAGAGTGAGATGAGTCCCAGAGTGAAGTGACCTGGGACAGGGCCCCCAGACAAAACAACAGGGATGAAGCATAAGTAAGAAAAAAAATCTTTTGTTCTAATTTTCTGATATCTGGGGATGGACTTGTTTCCATGGCCTGATCTAGTCTACCCACACTGACTCACTATAATACCCAGAATTGAGAAGCTACTATAACCAAAACCTAAAATTTATGAGCTGGTACATTGCCTGGAAAATCCCATGGACGGAGGAGCCTAGTAGGTTGCAGTCCATGGGGTCACGAAGGGTCAGACACAACTGAGCAACTTCACTTTCACTTTTCACTTTCATGCATTGGAGAAGGAAATGGCAACCCACTCCAGTGTTCTTGCCTGGAGAATCCCAGGTACAGGGGAGCCTAGTGGGCTGCCGTCTATGGGGTCATACAGAGTTGGACACGACTGAAGTGACTTAGTAGCAGCAGCATGTGGTTTAGACAATAAAGAAATTGTCTGCAATCCAGGAGACCTAGGTTTGATCCCTGGGTCAGGAAGATCCCCTGGGAAACAGAATGACTATCCACTCCAGTATTCTTGCATGGAGAATCACATGGACGGAGGAGCCCAGTGGGCTATAATTCATGGTATCACAAAGAACTGGACACAACTGAACAACTACGACAACAAC